CATTGTTATTTAGTCCCCGACCGGTCCCCGGATGGAGGATATATACATTGATTTAAGTTTCATGCTGTTACTATTAACATAATCATACGAGGAGGTGTATACTGACATATGACCCATGGCAACATCCTAGTTGACCTAAAGACATTTGTGACACACGTGCACTGCTGCTGGTCTGATATATATCGTTCACGCTCTACTAATAGGTACTAAGAAGATGTTGCAACAGTCATATACTTATTCATTCCGAAGTTAACTCTTTATTTATGGCAGAAGCAGAGCCCAAAGCTTATTGAAGCAGTACTTGTTGGTCCTCGGAGGGAAAATACATTTCAAACTATTGCTAACACAGACATTAGATTAAATATTCGTTCACATCACTTTCAGCAACTTTAAAGTGTTATGATCAAGAAAGCATGTGTCTGGAATACGTTCAGTACTTTAATTCAATTAAATGACCGTGACATACTTTCAAGGTCACAGAGGTCAAATGCGTTTGAAACCTTTGGGAATCTTCTGAATAATCAAGAGGCTTAGATCAATGATATTTGGCCAGTAGGTACATGGGCCAGAGTGCTTTGAAGTTTCCTCAAATAAATGATCCGGACCTACTTTCAATGTCACAGGTGTCAAATATATATAAACAACTCTTTACCATTTCATCTGAATAACCAGGAGGTCCAGAGTAATAATATTTGGCCAGTAGGTATCTTTGACAGAAGGTTCTCACATAAATGACATTGACAATAATTTCGAGGAAGAAAGGTTAAAATTGTTAAAAACCTTTAACATCTCCTTTTGAATAACCAGTAGGCATAGAGAAATGCTATTTAGCCAGTAGGCACATGGCATGAAGTGCTATAACATTTTCCTCAAAAAAATTACCTTGACCTGAGATCACAAAGGTCAAATTATTTAAAACCATTTTAACATTTTCTTTTGAATAACCTAGTGGCCAAGAGCAATGCTATTTTGCCAATTGGTACCTGGGACAGAGTGATATGAAGTTTTCTTAAAAAGATGACCTTGACCTACTTTCAACGTCACAGGGGTCAAATATGTAAAAATATTTTTAAAGCTTCTTCAGAATAACCAGCAGACCCAGAGGAATGATATTTGGCCAGTAGGTACATGAATACACAAATAAATAACCCTGACCTACTTTCACGGTCACGGGGGTAAAACATCTGGGTGATGCTATTTGTAGCATGCTGGAAAAGAGTAGCATCAAGTTTCGTTTAGCCTGGAAAATGTTTAAGCCAATGACACTCAAATGGGCCTCATGCCATGGTCCGGCTGTCGTCGTCCGTCCGACCGGCGTCAATTTTTTACGTTAATTTCTTCTCAGTATCGAAAAGGACTAGGAGATAATATTTAGCCGGAATAGACTACACTGCCGATACAATAAATTTTCGACCATTCATAATAGTTTTTTTACATAACAGATACGATTATGATAGACATTTATACTAATGACATTAATAAAATTATGTAATCATTTCACTGAATTCAAATATATCAGAATATAATCTATTTGAGGAGGTATACTTTCGTTAATGTTCCAAAAATATATAGTCAATACAAAATAATATTAACCAATCCATATGTTATCAATGACTTTGGCAAAGGCCTTTATAATATATACTACTATATACTGTACAGATATAACAGTTTTAACAACCACAACGTATTTTATCTGTTGATAGAAAACAAAGATGCATTGATGCTTTCCATAACATTCCACAATTTGAAATTAGTATAGAGAGTCAATTAGAGCAATAATGCATGACTATCTGACCTTTATAAGGAGTATTGAAAACAAATATATATATATAAATATGTTATATAGATGGATTGAATATAACAGTAATATATAAATCTCAAATTATCTACATGTGTGTCATGAGTGATATTAATGCCATGTGATGATAATAATGATGAATTCGTCAATGAGACACAATATACAAAAGTTAAATATGTAACTTACATGTTNAATCATTCAAGTCGAGCATTATCGCATTGTTAAAAGTTCCACTCTTGGAGTAATCAGATCCCAATCGGGAACCGTAAACGAGAAAATACTCGTTTTCCGGAAAGTGCCGACGGTTACCGATTGCTCAGACCCAAAAGAAGTGTACCATTTCCCCAACGTCATGTAATTTGCTATGGACCAGCAGAACCAACATGTCGAGCAATATAGAGAAGAGGCATCAACAAATTCGAGTTATTCCATTATCCGCTGACTGATATAACAATGTTTAACAGAAACAATTGATATGAAAACCGTATGTTGAATCAAACTTATCCAGTGGCGGATCCAGAGAGATTTTTTGGGCTTCAAGAAACCCCCCACCCTGAGAATTTTCTTAAACAATCATGTATTTACACCATAATTCTCCCTATTTCCCCACATGGAACCCCCCTAGAAATTTGGACCCCCCGATAGGTCTCTTGATCCGCCACTGTTTTCAGAACCACTTAATAAAATAAACGTCATTAAAGAATCGCGAACAACAGTCTGAGATCAAAACAATTAGTTATATTGACTATCATAAACAATCGAATGCAGAAATACAAAATAAAAACCACAGAAATACAATCTGAGTTATCTCTGCTGACGTAGAACCCACACGACGATATAAAATATACCAGAAATATCAACCTCAACACAAATATAAATGGGACTAGCTTCACATTTGGGATAAAAAATTATGCACTTATCTTTATCAAATGAGTATAACAATATTGCAAATTTGTTGAGATTTTCATTTCTTTATCATTCTGGGGTTATCAATCTGGTATATATTGGATTGGTATAGTTTATATCTAATCTGTGGGGTTACAATTCTGACATGAATACTTGAAGCAATAATATCTGATGTTGAAATTGATTTGTTAGGGATTTTTTCGGACATCCCTATATGTGAAAATACTAGTTTCGGTTGAATTGTGTGTGGGATTACTTCTAACATCTGATATCACTACATATATATTGGAAAATACTAGTTCCAGAGTAATATTAATAATAATAATAATAATATACAACATTTATATAGCGCCTTATATAATTTGTAAAATTACTCTAAAGCGCTTTACAACATATGGATAATAGTAATGGTTATAATTGTGAAAACAAAAAACAAAGGCCTACAATCGCTTTAATTCATTTGAGCAAGCAATGTGCACATAATTGAAAAAAATAAAAGGGTGGTATTTATATAACGTCTTTGCAAAGATTCTAGATGCAGACGTGAAGAGGTGAGTTTTGATGTCCCTATTGAACTTGGCCAGGGTATTGGACTTTCTAATTGCAGATGGTAAGCTATTCCACAACGTAGCCGAAACCCTCCCAAAGCATCTGTTTCCGTAGGTCACAGTACGAGATTTTGGGACACACAACAAAGATTTTGACTCCGACCGCAGTGATCGTGACGGCTGATACAGGGTAACAAGCTCCTGTATATACTGAGGAGCTGTTCCATTCAGTGCCTTGTATGTGTACACCAGAATTTTGTACTGCGACCTGTATCGGACAGGAAACCAGTGCAACGAAGGGGCACATGTGTGATGTGCTCTTTCTTTCGAGTACGAGTAACTAGCCGTGCTGCAGTGTTCTGGACCCTCTGCAGACGACGAGTAAGTTTGTCAGATATACCACAGAGCAGGGCGTTACCATAATCCAACCGAGAGGTAACAAGTGAATGCACCAAAATCTTGCATGCAGCTGCAGTTAAAAACTTCCGAATACAGTCGATATTCCTGATCTGGTAGTAACAGGATTTGGCAATAGCGTTCACTTGTTTCTCCATGTTCAGTGAACTATTAAAGTATACCCCTAGATTTTTAACAGCTGGAACAGTCTCAATAGTTCTGGCACCGACCTTGAGCTGGAGAGCCATTGTTTGCTGACACTTTGGGGAAATGACGATTAGTTCCGTCTTTTCCTGATTAAGCTTAAGCATATTGGCGTTCATCCAGATACTGATATCTGTCAGACAGGCTTCTTGACTTTCTGGGACGGTATTTCAACTGTCCTGTGGTTTGATGACCATGTAAATTTGTTTGCCATCGGCATAGCAATGATAGCGAAGGCTATTGCGACGACAAATCTCTCCACTCGGTTTGGAGTACATACAGTATTTTCGTGGTCCTAACACCGACCCTTGAGGAACCCCGAAATCTAGCACTTTGTTATGTGAGGTGGAAGATCCGATGGCAACACACAATATTGCGTGGGATTTGTTCTGATATCACTACATGTATATTGGACAATACTAGTTCCGGAGTAATATTGCGTGGGATTTGTTGTCATATCACTATGTTGAATAATGCTAGTTCCGTGGTAACATTGTGTGGGATTATTTCCTATATAATTGACGACCATGCTTGCCGTGATGTTTATACCAAATGTTGTTGAAATTGGACCATTTTTAAGGCATTTATTAAACAGAAACTCGATCGCGACAGACAGACACATATGATAGAATAGGATAAAACGAATTGGGTTCATCGACTGGGACGAATTTTCTACTTCTTTTAATAATAGAATAGTTGAACGTTTCCAGTTAATTTATGTTAATTTAATCAAGTTTATCAAAGTTTGACATCACACCTTCAAATACGCAATGCATAAAATAAACTCAACATTCTCATCCGGTGACAGATGTCTCAAAACTGAACAAAAGCATGAAAGCATTAATAAAGCGATACCTTTTAACAATAGATGTATCACAAAAAAGGCTTTAAGAGAACATCTCGAACATTTTTACACGAAATTAGAAAAAGGAGGAATGTCCATTTATTCAAACAACGAAGGCAAAGAACATTTATAGAAAATACAGAGGCCAAAGATTAGTATAATATGAGATTAATTATTAAAGCGAGAATTGAATACAAATACCAGAGACAAGGGCAAAAATATTGATTTAAGATGATTCATCGTGAATAGCAATTGAAAACCGGAAACGAAAACAAATACTCCGAATAGGCAAATTTTNTAACAGGTAGAAATTCGATCTACATGGCGACCCCAAAACCATTTCATCTTCGCTTGATGCTAATAAGATAACAGACTAATTGATCAATTTGTCAATCAGAGGCACTTTTTTTCTGGAAGTCTGATTCAGCATAGGGTATAAAGTAGTGTTTAAACTATTCACAGTGTAAACCAACTGACTATTAATACATGGTCGAATAATTCATTTGAAGCTGCTGGGATGAAATTAGTACAATGTACAATCTGTCATACAATGTATAAATAAAGAATTCAGAAATTCGAACCACGGTCTTAGAGTTGAGGTAAAAGCGAGGTTTTTGCTGAGAATAAAGTATGGTACCGGAGGTGAACATTTGAAATTGAAAGAGCACGGTACTAGGGTATGGGATATGCGAGATGAAGTTCGATACGGGTGTCATTGCTTCCAATACGTACGTACCTATTCGTCTTTACGAACATTTCTGTACATCCTCATCGTCATATTCTTCTTTCACCTTATAGTCCTCAACCTCTACTTAACATTCAGTATCCTGTAGCTTTTCCTTTGAATATGTTATCATCATTCCCTCTTCCTCCTTCCCTGCATATTTTTCTGTTTTTCTGTCCCTTCTTCTGGCACTTCATCCGCCTTTACTTTTTACTTTTGTTATACACCTCTCTCTATTTTCTTCTCCTGCGTCACATCCTCGTTCACCTCCCCTTCTTCTTGCGGCACATCATCTTCTCTCTCCTCCATTTTTTTCTTCCCCTCTTCTTCTCGTCGCGATTTTTTTCTTTCGCTTTTGTCGCCTTGGTCGATCGGGAATTGGCGAGTAAATCCCTTTTGCACAATCTGACGGATACTGTCCTTTCTTATTCTTAAAATTGAGTGCTGAAGGGTTTTGGATATGCTGGGACAATATATCAATAGCTTTTCCAAATTGACTACCGCCTGATTGGCGAAGGGCTAAATGCAGCAGTCCGTCTCCATATCTGTCTTTTGCTGTGGGATCACACATGTTGTATTCTTGTGGATCTTCTTCGAACTTCTTGCACAGCAATTCAAGAGCTTCGAAATGTCCTGGAACTATCAGAAAGAAAAAAAATAGTTGGTTTAAATCAACGAATGTTTGCAACAAGCATGCAAATGGCCTCATAATTATGGTTTAATCTAACGTGTTACATCATTGAGTTAATGTGAAACACTTGATATTGAATAAGTAGTGTTCTATAATATACCGTATAATCGACTGCCTTTGTCCAGTAAAGTCGCACCTAATTAGCTTCTACACACTAATATATACATCATGAACGACCAAACACCGCAGACGAACCACGTGTTCCAGAAGGGTAAGGGTAAGCCACCCTTCACGATGTCCACCAACAGTTATAGGAAAGTTTGACAACAGACGTAATTCTTTATGGTATAAAATGAAATGAAAATCCATCTCAAGTACTTTTGGTAATGTTTCCCAGGCACCTAAGTGGGCGCCAATGTAGCAGAAGTCCATTTTCTGAAAACCTCCGCTAGGGATCGAACCCGGGACCTCTTGTAGACAATTGAGCTAAAGAGAAATTTCTTTTTAGCTTATTGGATATGGTGTCAGACTAATACGATGAAGGTCCCGAGTTCGTTCAGTAGAGGAAGCTTTGAAAAATATAATGACTGTCGTTACATGACTATTGCAATAGTTTATCTATGTCCTCCGAAATTTATGTCATTCGTAATATTTTATATTTGTCCTCAGTAATAGTTTGTCTTTGTATTTTTTTTATCTTCGTTCTCTTCATTTTTTTTTAAACCAAAATTTCCCCCTGTAATAGTTCCGTCTGTATAACCGTTATGCTTGTCTACTGTTATATTTATTATTGTCCATTAATATAACTTCGTCTTTGGCCTTTGAACCTACAGTATATCCTACTTGTTCCTGCTCTTTTAAACCATGATCACAGTTTGTGTATACGTCATCTAGGAATGTTGTTGATATTTAGTGTTCCATTTGCATTGTCTATGTCCTATTTCATCAACATTTCGGTTGAGAGAAATAGAGTCAACCATTATGTAGGTATGTAGAATATTGATATTCTACTCTCAGATGAAGTATTTTGTAACAGAACCTCGGGAAACAATAAGTTCTGACCCACATATTACAATCTCGAGAAGGATTATCATATCCCACACGCATACATCTTTTTATATAAGTTTATCTTTGTGTGCTGAATTGATTTTTGTCCTCTGCATTACTTTATCTTAATTCTCCGTACTAGTCTGTTTATCTTCTATTTAGATTTCGGTGTAGTAGATATAATTATGTCTAAAACATAAAGGTCATGTTGTCTTTTTGTGCTGTCGATTGAAATCAGTACAATCACTGTCTCTATTATATCTACATTATATATGGTGTACAGAACAACAATAATTATCATATGCTTATCCATGATATCACTAGCTGTGCATAGGCAATATGCCAGACTAACCCACATCTTCCAGACACGCGCCATATTTGCCCGACATGCATTACATCCAGCACACGCTATACTCGATTTACTTCCGGTGCAAAACATTTCAGGAAAATCACGCCTCTCATACACTCGATTTGTATTATTGCTGATAAGTTTGATACCGTATTAAAATATGTACAGTGAGGTATTAGATAAAAAAACATTATTATATGACCATTTATATGTCGTATCCCTTATCAACCCTCGATCCATATCTGACCGATAGGGAGATATAGGGTGGATACGGACTGCAATATATAAGATATAAGATAACGTTTAAATATACACAGCGTCATCATCGAGCCTCACGGATGTTGTACCAGTGTATCACGTGATTGTCATAGTTTATCAGGTGAATGTGCTGGCATGTCATTTCAATATACTAAAAGGCATTTATTAGTTTTCATGAAACATTTATTAGGTTAAATACACCATGGGCTTCGGACATTTTTAAAATCGTAGTTAAAGAAGCAACCAATACATCAGTACAAGATGACGTTTGACCAACAAAAACTGACCTTTTGTAAGCGCGATCGTTAATGCAGCATGTACAGGCGTGTCACCGGTGTATATGATCAGGTGTTTTGGATGAGCGCCCTTCGACAGTAGTAAGGGGAGGATCCCATAGTGGCCATTTTTTATGCATGCTTGGAAACAAATTTTTCCCTCTGTAGATTGAGGAAAAGTTTCTCAATACATATTAATGAGATAGTTTAACTCGGAGTCAGCGATCATCGATAATGATATACAATTTTTATATTACGCAAAACAACTGTTTTATACCATAACTATTAAATATATGGTAATAGATGTTTTAATAAGATCAGCAGATATATATAGCAATGAGCAGGAGTTTTTAAATGATATGTTTATAGCAATAAACAGGTTTTATAAATTATCAATTTTATAAAATTATAAGTGAAAATCGTTGTACATTAACTAATTACAGGAAACAGTAATCGTTCTCTGTACACTTTTGTTACATATACTTTTTAACATATCTAATAATAACAATATATTTCCTGGACGGATATAGGGTATGATTACTTACCATTCGGTATAGTTGCTCCTATATCCAATAAACTCCTCATCAAATTGTCCAATCTTTTTGTATTTCTCAGAAACTGTGGATCTCCCACAACAGCCTCTAAACATATTTCGCCTACGAGTTCCATAAACGTCACTTTGGAGGCATTGGATTCGCGGTGTTTACGGACTATACTGAGAAAAGGGATCCATTTTCTCCTGTCCAGTAGACCTTTCAAAATCTGGATCAGGTGGCTATCGGGAATTTGTATCAGGTCTTCAGGAATGTCTGTTAAATATACACAGTAAATAAAATATATTATAACGTATATTCAATGAGTCAACTAGAAAACATAATATAAACACATAAGACGTTAGTGATAAAACACGTTAGTGATTAAAAGAAATATTAACGTCACTAACATGTTATTAATCAAAGTTGGGTAACGGTAAACAGTGACACATTTTCTGTTGTCATAAATACAAGTAGCAGGAGTGTTTTACCCGGACATGGAGCTCCACTCATTTCAGGCCTTTCTATTGCATGTTTGTATACAATTAAAGAACTAATTCAGTTTAAACGCCAATGAAATATATAACGACTTTTTTCTTAACATACCCATTTATAGATGAATGACTGATTGATATTTCGACATGCTTCTGATCCGTACCTGAACATGGTCGTACACAATAATTGTAAATTGGCAGTGTCAAGGTAAACAAAAAAATCGATCACTAGAAAAATGAAATTACGAATTGTATTGTTTAATTTAACTTGTCGATGCAGTAAATCAAAGAAAGTAAACATTTCACTCGATCAAATCAAAAAGCAAATTAAGAAATTTACCCTACTAATTAAATTTCTACCATGTAATTGAAAAAACAATTTCCTGTTTCCCGTTTTTAATACTGAACAAACACACTGCGGGGTGTATCGAAACTATCTAGTACAACACAATAGGGAACAAGGCGAAGTACTGTGAGCAATCCATATTCCATATATAACCCCAATTCCGGACAAACTTGAAATGAAAATGAACTATGGACCATTTCAATGTATATAGTAGGAGGCCCGACACCCTGCCATTCGAAGATGAATTCACAACCAAACATTGGCAATGGTAGATGACAGAGTACATGAGATAAACACGAGAAAGGTGACGCATTTGACTTCCTAGCGAACTGACGTGCGGAGTGCGAATCTATAACTCCCCTCCGGTAGTACCGTTAGGGGACTAATAAAAGGAGTACAAACTCACCTGGATCGTCAGAGTCCTCTAAATACGTGCCGATACGATTGATGATCTTTGAGATATATTCATCAGAAAGGGCAGGTGCACTTTGTAAAAGTTTCGCAAAGATAGCAAATCCGTTGTTGTACTGTTTAATTTCCAACCATGATATTCCTTCCTTGAATAGTGATTCTATTTTTTTGCCCATCGTTTTACGTTCAGTTGCCCTTTTCTACAACACCAGAAATAATTGAATGGAATATGCATTAATGAAAAGATAAAACTATAAGGTTATTATAGAAATTATCATGAATGATCGATATTGATGATTATATGAATTTGAATATATCATTCAGCTTAGGTGTATCAAAATAGTTATAAACTTAGTAATATAGAATTAAATTTGAATGTGAGTGTTTATTACATGTCTTTCTGAAACTTACCACTTGGGTTTCGTTTGGAATATCCAAGCTACCCGGATCAGTCTCTGATCCAAAAAGTTTCCCTTCGCTGTGGTCATGGTGGCCTTTTTCTGACTGATCATGCGAATGACCTGCTTTCTCAGAACCGTCATCGTTAGCTATCGATGCATAGTCAAACTGCTCCTCAGAACCCGCAGATGGTGTATCAGATGTAACACTTACATGCTGCTTATCAACTTCAACAGTATGATGACAGATAATGTCACGCTGTAAATGTTCGTCAGTGGTTTGTCTGCAACTGTTATCGTTGGTGATCATATCTTCTGACGAAATCACGCCAGTACCGTCACAGGGAAACTTCTCCGGTTCGTCGTCT